CACACACACACACACACGCGTGCGTCACACGTGCTGTGGACCCACAGGGAGCTCACACTGGGGCCCAAATGCCAGGGTTCGCATGGCGGCGCCGCCTCGTGTCGGCACACCCCTCACACATTTCGTGGCTTCGTGGCCCCACAGAGAGCTGCACGCCCCTCGCACTTGTTGTGCCCCCACGGGGAGATCCACCGAAGGCCCCAGTGTCAGGGCTCGCAGGGCGGCGCCGCCAAATTTGGGCACACCCCTCGCATGCCTCGTGGCCCCATGCGGAGCTCCACCAATGGCGCCAGTGCCGGCGCCCGGATGGCTGCACCTCCCCATCTCGGCACGCCCCTCGCATGCGTTTTGACCACCTTGGAAGCTTCCCCTCCTTCGTCCCACCTGCCTTGCACTACTCACGCCTGCATATGGTTGGGCCCTTCGCCAGGATATTTTTTGGGGGGGCAGGAAGGCGAGGAGGAGGTGGAGGCGGCGGCGGAGGAGAAGGAGGAGGAGGAGGAGGAGGCGGCGGAGGAGAGGAGGAGGCGGCGGAGGAGTGGAGGAGGAGGAGGAGGCGGAGGAGAATAGGAGGAGGAGGAGGAGGAGGCGGAGGAGAAGGAGACAGGACGGTTTCAGATGAGTTTCCGGCATGGGGGGGGGTCCAGGGACCACCACTTGGAGAGGCAGGATCAGGAGGAAGGAACTCGGAACTCGCATGTCCTCGAAAGTCCGCCAGGGGCGGCACTGCCAGGGGTGTGCAGGACGCGAAACCGCCTGCAGACCACAAGAGCCCGAAGCTCGGGCATCGAAACAGAGGCAGAGCCGTCTCCACGTATCGACGCACGAAGTCGAAACGAGAGCCAAGCGACCAGAGGCTCGGAGCGACGTCGGGGCACATCACGTCCTCCTCAGATCCCTCAACTCGCTTCCTCATCCATCCTCTGCCCTGCTCGCAAGCGGCGCGGCGCGTGGGCGCGCCTGTGAAGAAGCTGCTGCAGACGTGGGGCGCACAAGCGCGCGCGGGACGGACTGACTCTCCCCCCCCCACCCAGGGAGAAGGAGCAGGAAGGAGGACGTGGCGGTGGAGCCGCGGGGGCGTTTTCTGGTCCCAGACCCACTTCGAGGGTCGTCGTCGTCGTCGTCGTCGTCGTCGTCGTCGTCGTCGTCGCCGCCGACGTCGTCGTCGTCGTCGTCGTCGTCGTCGTCGCTCCCATCCCATCCCATTCCCTGCCTGCTGCTTCCCCTCCCTGCCTGCTGCTTCCCATTCCCTTCCCATTCTCCCGCCGTCGTCGTCGACGCTCCTGTTCTGTCGCCGCCGCCTCTTCCCATCCCCCGCCTTCTGCTTCCTCCCCCGGCGGCCGCCTCCCGCTGCCGCCTCCTGTCGGGGGAGCGTAAGACCCGGGTTTGCCAGGACTCGGGTTCGCCATCGTTTTTTGACGACCGCGACTCGGATTTTGACGAGTAGGAGTTTCGTGGGATGTCTGCAGCGGGAGGCCTCGTCAAAATGCAGGCTCGGCCTCGTCATTTTTTTGACGACCTCGTCGGGGATTTCCGAGTTCCCTGTACCCGGGTCCCCAGACCCCCGGCGTCGTGATTTTTTCATAACGTCGATCCCCAGCGGTCTGGACCCTTTCCCTGGGACCGGTTTTCCATCCTGAGTCGTTTTTTGACGGTCCCGAGGCCCGGGAAGGGCCCCCGGAGGCCGAAAATAGCGAAAAACCTCCCGTCGTGATTTTTTCACGACGCCAGGAGGTCTGGGTACCCGGGTCTTACGTCCCCCTGATCCTGCTGCCCATCCCATCCCATCCCCTGCCTTCTGCCCCCCGTTCCCCTCCCGTTCCCTGTCGCCGCCGCCTCTCCCTCCTCCGCGGCCGCCTCCTGCTTCCTGCCTTCTCCCTCCTGCCCCACCCCCCTCCACCTCAACATCCCCCCTCCCCCTCCCCCTCCCCCCTCTTCCTCCCCTTCCCCCTCCTCCTCCTCATCCCTCCTCCTCCCCTCCTCCTCCTCCTCTCCTCCTCCTCCTCCTCCTCCTCCTCCTTCTCCTCCTCCTCCTCCTCCTCCTCCTCCTTCCTCTCCTCCCCCTCCCCTCCCCCCCCCTCCTCTCCCTCCTCCTCCTCCTCCTCTCCTTCCTCCTTCCTCCTCCTCCTCCTCCTCCTCCTCCTCGCTCCTCCCCCTCCTCCTCCTCCTTCCCCTCCTCCTTCTCCTCCTCCTCCTCCTCCTCCTCCTCCTCCTCCTCCTCCTCTGCCGTCTGCTTCCTCCTCCGCGGCCGCCTCCTCCTCCTCCTCTGCCCTCTGCTTCCTCCTCCGCGGCCGCCTCCTGCTGCCCTCGTGGGGGGCAGCGGCCAAGGAGTGGGCCGACTTTGGCGACCTCGAGGCGCGGCACCGGCTGCTGGACGTCGTAGGCCCCCGGGGGACTGACTCCCCGCAGGCAGTGCCAAGGGGGGGTCACCGTCAGGGGGGTCGCCAGCCTCTCCCCTCCTCCCCCTCCCCCCCTCCTCCTCCTCCCGCCTCCTCCTCCCCCTCCTCCTCCTCCTCCTCCTCCTTCCTCCTCCTCCTCCTCCTCTCCTCCTCCTCCTCCTCCCCTCTCCTCTCTCCTCCTCCCCCCCTCCTCCTCCTCCTCCTCCTCCCTCCTCCTCCTCCCCCTCCTCCTCCCCTCCTCCTCCTTCTCCTCCTCCTCCTCCTCCTCCTCCTCCTCCTCCTCCTCCTCCTCCTCCTCCTCCTCCTCCTCCGCCTCTCCTCCTTCTCCTGAGGATCGTGATTTGAGGATCGAGGCTGCAGTGGGGGCCCATGCCAAGAAACACCCTGCTTGCCTCCAGGTTGCCCTGTGTTTCCTGGGTTTCGATGGTCTTGCTGTGGAAATCGTGGCGCTCCCACGCCCAAAGTCAGTGGACGTCCTGGGATCCCAGGGTTGGGTTTCTTGTGGAAGGTTTCTTGCGGTTGAGCCCCTACTGTAGGGGGGTTGCCGGCCTTTCCTGAGGGATGTGATTTGAGGATCGAGGATATAGGATCGAGAAGGGGGTCACCAAGATTGTGAATTGGGTTTGGTATGCACATACATCTGTACACGCGTGTCAGGGAATCGAGAAGGCTGATCAACAATATTGTGAGCTTGGTTGGGTATGCATATACACCTGCATACACACGTATACGCGTGTACATGTCGCGGTGCTTGTTCAATTGTTGTGAGGCGGCATGTCCTGGTGGTCTCTGGGGGCGTCTGAGGGGCATGCTGGGTCGTCGTGCGGCCATCTCGGGCCCCCTCTGGGCCGTCTTCGGGGCCTCTTGGGCCTGTCCCTTGGGGCCGTTGTGAGGCCGCCTGGGGGGCGTGCTGGGCCGTCTTGCGGCCATCTCGGGCCGGCTCGGGCCCCCTCGAAGGCCGTCTTCGGGGTCGTCTTGGGGCTGTCCCTTGGGGCCGTCGTGAGGCCGCCTGGGGGGCGTGCTGGGCCGTCTTGGGGCCATCTCGGGCCGTCTCGGGCCCCCTCGTGGGCCGTTCTCGGCGCCTCTCGGGGCCTGGCCATGGGCGCTCGGGGGGCCCCGCGGGGCTGCTGTGGGGGTGGAGACTCGATGGTGTCGAGCCCCTCTCTGGTGGCCCTCTCGGGTCGCCTTGGGGCCCTGCCGTATTGGGCGAGCTTGGGCCCATCTGGAGTCGTCTGGGGGCCCCTCTTGGGCCCCTCGCGAGACCTCCTGGTCGCCTTCTGGGCCAGCTCGTGGCGAGCTCGAGGGCCTCGTGGGCCCCTTGCGTGGAGGCTCCTGGTGACCGAGAAGAAGGCGAGCGCGCCAACACAGTCCGACAGCCTGCGGGGCGTCAATGGTGGCCGCCTCTCGGGGGGGCTTCTTGGGCGTCCTCCTCGGGCCCCCCCGTGGGTCGTCGAGGGGCCTGCTGGGCTGCCATCGTGGGCCGCCTTCGGCCCGTCTCGGGGCGGTCGTCGGGGCCTCGCCGAGGCATCGTGGGGCCCTCTTGTGCCGTCGTGGGCCCCCCCCCCCGTGTCGCTCTGGACTCGGCCTCCAGCCCGTGCTCGAGTAGATCTGGAGCAATCTTCTAGTCGTGAAGGTATTGTCTGAACGGGTACAGCCAAACAGATACCGGCACACGTGCCTATAAAACCGCCCTTCGGACGATCCGGACGTTGCGGGGGGTATGGGTGCAGGCTTCGGTTTGCGATTGTTGTCGGATGGGAGTCGGGTTCCTCATATACCCCTATCTATTGCATGCGTACGGGCATCTCGATCTACCCGCCTCACTATCTATCTATCGATCGACCCCATTATCACCATACTGATCGGCCTCCTCATAAATATCCGTAAGGGCTTCGCCCCCTGCCGCCGGCCCCCTTTCTATCATAATGGGATACATCAGAGCTATATTGGGATGTTCGGGCGCCGTCTTGATGACATGCGAGAGCGTCGTGCTAGGGCGGCTGGCGATGAGCAAAACAGATTGAGATGTTGAAGTTGTTGTTGAACGCTTTGTTGCCTTCTTGGCCTTTTCCTCCAGCTGTTCACTGGAAGCGCTCTGGGAACGGCTGGGGATTGCTTCAGGCAATCTCTAAAAAGGTTATTGTTTCTACTCTGGAAAAGGAGTGGCGCCTTTGGGCAGCTTCCGCGAGGTGGATTCGTAGCGTGGGGGATGCGTGCGACTTTGGTGTAATTTGCGGGGGATCGTGGCCTCGGGGACGCGAATGTGGTGTAATTTACGAAAGATCGTGGCCTGGGGGCGCGACAGCGGCGTAATTTACGAGGGATCGTTACCTCGGGGGCGCGAATGTGGCGTAATTCACGCGGGATCGTGGCCTCGGGGGCGCAAACGTGGCGTAACTTATAAGGGATCGTGGCCTGGGGGGGTGAATGTGGAACCCACCGCCGAATTTTCCAGAAACGGGAGGGGGGGGGCAAAAGAATTCCAGCGGAGCACATATCCCAATACAGACAATGACCGTTTTTCTGCTTTGGAAAGGGGGAGCGCCTTTTCGGCAGCCTCTGCAAGGCGGATTCGTGGCCTCGGGGGCGCGCCCGCTGCGTACTTTACGATGGATCGTGGCGTCAGGGGCGCGCATTTGTCGTACTCTACGTGGGATCGTGGCCTCGGGGGCGCGACAATTATGTAAATTACATGGGATCGTGGCTTCGGGGGCGCGAATGTGGCGTAAATTACAAGGGATCGTGGCCTCGAGGGCGCGAATGAGGAGTAATTTACAATGGGATCGTGGCCTCGGAGACGCAAATGCGGCGTACATTACGGGGGGCCTCGGAGACGCGAACGTGGCGTAATTTACAAGGGATCGTGGCCTCGGGGGCGCGAGTACAGTGTAAGTTGCGAGGGATTATGGCTTGGGGGGCATGGAACTCAAGTATTTTTACGTGTCCCACGCCCCTCCAGAAATTCTGAGAACCCTCCCGGGGGACGCTAACCAGGGCCGTTTTCGGTTCCCCCCCTCGCGCGGACAGTAACAATTTACAGTAGGAAGCAGAAAGCAGTACTGTAACAATGGAAACTGAAAATTGGAACTGGCGCAGGGGTCAGCAACCTTAATCCTCGCAGCCTGATGGCCCCGCAAGAGGGCCGACGGATAAATTGTATATGCGCATGTAGACATACCATATACAGGTATATAGGTACACTTATTTGTATACATATAAATGTGTATCTCGAAGTCTCTATCTAACTAAAGAGATGTGCATGTACGCATACGTACATGTATACACCTAGATGTCACACTATACCTGTATACTTATTCAACGTATGTTCAGAGTCCTGGCGATATCTCTCTCTATATATATATATATATGTGTCTGTACATATCTGTTTACGTATCTGTATCGCGGTTCGATATGCGGTACCTATGTATTCACATTGAGATCATACTTAGCATGTATGTATAATTATGTATGTATGTTAGGCTCGATATGCATACCTTTCTGGCTCAAGTCTTTTTGGCTGAGCCACCGACCCTCGCGGCCTCCAGGGCAGTGGATGCGCGCGGCGGCCCAGGGTGTGGTGTTCCTGGTCTTCCACGTTGGCTCGGCCTGGGCCAGACAGCTGGGGGCGGCCGTCTGTGCGAAGCGAGGCCCGCCCCCGCCGTCATCTGTGGGGGCGCGGGTGCCCGCCCCGCCAGCGCGGGGCTGGCCTGCGGCCGCGGTGCCACCCACCCCCGCGCTGGCCCAGAAGCAGCGCGTGGAGCTGGAGGCGGCCAAGGTCGACTTCCACAGGGGCGACGCAGTCTCGTTCGCAGTCTCTGCCGTGTCAGGTCGTGGACCGGCCGCTGGGGTGCACTACGGCGCTGGCGGACTAGGCGTGAGGCTCGTCGGCTCCCTCGTCGAGTGCGGTGAGTTCGCGGCCGTGTCGCCCGACTTTGACGTCTACGAGGGGCAGCTGAGCCTCAACAGCGGCAGCTTGGAGGGGATCCGTTTCTCGTGTTCGGTCGACGTGTGGCCGCGAGGGGCCCCCGCTCCTGGCAGTGTGCTCTACACCCTCGCGGCGCTCATGTCCGCCCAGGTCAACGAGCGGGCAGCAGAGGCGGACCAGGTGAGTAACCTGGGACGGGCTCACCGCGGGCTCCCGCTGGTGGGCGAGGCGGCCCGAGTACCAGGAGCCGCCGTCGTGGAGGGGACGCCCGTGCCCGCCATGGGCCCTGCGCCTGGGGCCCCCCGTCTCGCCCCGACAGGCGGGGCGCGGATCGTCGCGGAGCCGTTCGGGGGCCACGACGCCGGCGAGGAGTCCACGCTGCCTGCGAGGGCTGCGGGGCTGGGGACCCGCGGCCTCGTGGTGATCGACGGGGGCGCCGCCGTGCTCGAGCAGCTGAGTGTGAGGGCTGACCTCATTCGCTGGGGCCTGGCGCAGAGCAGGTCTCTCTGCGGTGGCCCGAGGATCCTGGCGCGGTCCCCGACGGAGCGGGCCCTGGCCGACGCCGTGCGCCCGAGGACAGCACGCACGTGGCGGAAGGAGGGCCTCCCTGCCCCCCGCTGCAGGGGCCCGCCATCGGAGTCGAGATGGTCGACTCGGTGGTCAGGGACGGCGTGGCCAGTCTGATCGACCGCGCCAGGAGGTGGCGGCGTGGGAGCGGCGCCGAGACCCACAGCTTGACCGCCCACGAGGACGCGGTCCTCCGCGTGGAGGTGCTGCTCTCGGCGGCGGTGGACGGGTTCAACGTGAAGAACCTTATCGATGACGAGCTCCTCCTGAGACGGATCCCCGAGCATGGGGAGTCCGCGGCAGAGAATCCCGAGGCGCGGGGCTACGAGGGGTCGGACTACTACCTAGGGATCAACGAGTGTTCGGGAGGGGTCCCGACGGTGCCTTCGCTCTGGGCTCGCGCCGCAACCGAGCTCAGCGAAGAGGCAGAGATTCTGAAGGGGAAGCGGAAGGCATCGGAGGCCAGGGGGGCAGGCGTCGCGGTGGCGACGGCCAAGGCGGACCCCTCGGCCTCCTCCAAGAAATGAAGAAGGGAGCGGGGGCGGTGTTGCCAGTAGCCGCCCCCGTCTCTGACGTGATGGCTGGCGTGAGGTCTGAGGAGGTCTCCTCCGACCGCAATTTTGGAATGCGTCGTCCTGAGGCCTGGCTCTGTCTGCCGTGAGCTCCTGGTCTGTCCCAGCCTGGCGCCCCTGCTCTCGGGCAATTTTGGACGCCCCTGGTCTACTCCTGTGCTGGCGACAGACGCTTCGGGAAGCGGGTGGGGCGTGATGGAGGCTGGCTTCGACAGGGAGGAGGTGAAGGAGATCGGGAGGTGGAACGAGCGCTGGAGGTACGAGCGTCTGCCCCCGTCGGAGTGGGCGCCTCGTCGGCGCGCGCTGGCGGCCGAGCTCGACCCCCTCGTCGACCCTGCGACGTCCGACGTGGGCCCTTGGGACCTCGACGTGCTCGGCGGGGCCCCCTCGGAGTTCGCCCGGCGGCCTCGAGCGGTCTTCCCTGAGATTCCGAAGGCCACGATCCTGGGGCGTTCCTGGAAGTGCTGGAGGGCGGGGAAGTACAGGCTTGAGGAGCCGATCGGTGACAAGGAGGGCAGGGCCGTCATCAAAGGTATGAGTCTCAAGCTCCTGGACCCCTGCCAGCACCACGAGCGGCATCTCGTCCTTGTCGACAACTTTGGCGTAGCCCTTTGTTTCTCAAGGGGGCGCGCGGCCTCCTTCGGGCTCCTGCAACTGGTCCGCCGCCTGGCTGCCCTCTCGGTTGCCACCGGCGCATGGGCGGCGCTCCGCTGGATTCCAAGCGAACGCAAACCCGCCGGCGAGCCGCCCCGCCTCTTCGAGAAGCTCAAGGAGGCGCGGGCGACGCTGTATGAGGTGCCCGCGGTGGGAAAAGAGCTTGACGGCGTGTCAAGCAGCCGCCGGGCCATCGCGGGGCCGCTGGAACCCGACAGGAGGGCGGGCGCGTGGGCCGCCCCAGCAGCGGTCTCGTCCGTCGGCTGGGCGCCACTCGGCGGAGGCCCGCCGAGGCCCCCTCGCCTGTCACGCGGCCGCCGCCCCCGAGTCTGGGGCGACAAGCCGCGGGCGGGGGGCTCGGCGCCTGCGAGCCCGCGACGGTCGGCGCCAAGGGCTCGGCCGCCTACCAGTACTTCGAGAACATGTTCCGCGAGTGGCGGCGGCGCCGTGGCAGAACCACCGACGACCTCGACGTGATCGAGGTGAGCCTGCTCGACTACCTGAAGGAGCTACTGGCCGTCAACGTGAAGCTCACGCACGCCCAGATGACGGGGTGCGGCCTGCTGCACAGCACGCTCTCTGCAGAGGCACGGCATTACCCTCGACTCCAACGGGCGCTCAAAGGATACCGAAGGCCACTTCCGCCTACCAGCAGGTGGCCGCTGCCGATCGAGGTGAAGTCGGGCATCCGCGCCCGCCTGATCTACGATGGCGAGAGGTCCACGGCCATCCACATCAAGGCCGTGTTCTTTCTGGGCCCTTCCGTCCTGAGGGGGCCTCATCGCGCTAAAGTGGGCGTTCTGGTGTAGCCAGGGATGTCGGAGGAAGCTGCGTTATAGTGTTGGCATCTGATGGTGGCGCCAAGAAGCGCCGCACATTGAGTGAGTGTCAGTCGCGTGTCAGCGTAAACTGTCTTGATTCGGTTCGTTGTTGGCATAAGCCAGGCAAAATTCAGCTTGCTCTCAATCGGTTGAAGCAGCTGTCCGCCCGAAGCGGCTTTGTGATGCCACTCTCGAGTTTTTGGTTATGCCTGCCGCCCTGTCCCCACCGCCACCCGCTCACATCCCTCTTATGGGTCTTCCTATGGGAGTGCATTTCAGTTCGAATACTATTGTGGCCTGACCTGCGTGCGCAGGGCGTTTTGCGACATGCATGTTGCATTTCAAGACCGAGCTGGCAGTGTCCAGCGCCCTCTTGCTTGGAAAACGATCAGCTGTCTCCGACACCCCCGCCAGACGCCCCTCCTGGAATCATACCTTTGTATACAGGCGGGGGAGCAACAGGACAACCGCGGAACAACCACGGAACAACCATAGGACAACCGCAGGACAACCGCAGGGCCATCAGGGGTTGATCACGGACATCCGCGGGACACCCACGAGACCACCCAATCTCCCGATCGCATGCTCAATCTATCTGTTGGTATCACGATCTGACGGTCTCAACATTAAAGTACCGACATCGCTCTCTATATTTCGATCAGCCTCATTCTCTTTCGGTCTCATGATATGACTACAAATCCGCGTCTCGATCTCACTACTCATCTATCGGCCTCACAATCGATCTATCGACCTACAAACGGGACAAGCGCGTGACAACCACGGAACAGAGGCGGAACAACCGCGGACAACCACGGGACGACCACGGGACAGCCACATGAAAAAAGCGGGGCAACTATGGGACAACCACGGGATACCCACCAGACATGTACGGGACAACCACGGGACAACCATGGAACGACCACGGGACAACCATGGGAGGACCGCGGGACAACCACGGGACAATTGCGGGTCAACCACGGGCACGCCACGCGATGATTCCGGTGCGCGCCACCGTCAGCGCGGCTCTTCTTTGTGGCTCATCCTTGGCCCAGCTGGGGCAGGATCGCGCTCACCCTCGCGCAGCTTCGGCCCGCCCGCACGCACGACAAGAGCTGACACCTAAGCCGATTGTCCGGTTGGGGACCTCCGCTTGAATGCGGCCTCGGCGTTTGACTTTCCAATCAAGTCTCAGGAGGCTGCGGCGACCTGATCGGAAGGCTTCTCCTCCTCCTCCTCCTCCTCCTCCTCCTTATGCTCCTCTTCCTCCTCCTCCTCTTCCTCCTCATCTTCCTTCTCCTCCTCCTCCTCCTCCTCCTCCTCCTCCTCATCCTCCTCCTCCCCCCTGAGAGGTGGCGACCCCCTAGGGGCGACCGCCCTTGGCAATGCCCGGGAGGAGGACGAAGAGAAGGAGGGGGACGAGGGGGAGGGGTCCCGCATCCAGCACGAGTCGCGCAGCTGAGGGCAGGAGCGCGTGCCACCTGGTGGACCTCACATGACGCAGGGAAGGGGGGGAGGATGAAGAGGAGGAGGAGGAGGAGGAGGAGAAGGAGGAAGAGGAGGAGGGGAAGGGCAATGAGGAGCAGAAGGGAGACACGGAGGAGGAGCAGGGGGGAGGACGGGGGGGCAGGGGGGGTGGGAGGAAGAGGAGGGGACGGGCGAGGAGGAACGGGGGAGAAATGGAAGAGGAGGAGAAGGAAGGAGAGGAGGAGAAGTTGGAGGACGAGGAGGAGGGACGGGGGACGAGGAGGAGGAAGAGGGAGTGTGATTGGGTGGGTGGGAGGGGGAAGGGGAAGAGATCGGGGAATGGTTGGAAGAGACCTGGAAGTTTTGGAAGCATTCGGAAGTTCGGAAGTGCTTCTGGAAGTATTGGGGCGAGTTCGGACGGGGAAAGGAGTATATGGAGGCGGCGGATGAGGTGGAGGAGGACTAGGCGGAGGAGGACGGGGCGGGGACAACACTAATCATGTGCCCTCGGACTGTGAACCCCGTCCCGCCCATCGTTTCCGATTGCGTCGAATCCCTTTTCGTTCGCCGAGTCGGGTGTCGGATTGGGCCCCGATCGTCGCATGGCATTCACAGTTTCTGGCCTGCCGTCTTCTGCATTCACAATTCCCCTCACACGCACCCCAGATCCCCGCACACCACCTGGGTGGCGCGGGGAGAGAGGAGAAGGAGGAGGAGGAGGAGGAGGAGGAGGAGGAGGAGGAGGAGGAATAATGATAATACTAATAATAATAATACTAATAATAATAATAATAATAATAATAATAATAATAATAATAATAATAATAATAATAATAATCATAATAATACTAATAATAATAATAGTAAATAATACTAATAGTGAGAACTAAGAGAATAATAATAAGAACGATCAGAAAAATAATGAAGAAGAGAATACGAAGCAGACGAAACAGAAAACGAAGAAGAAGCAAGAAGAGGAGGCAGGAGGAGGCGGATTGGAGGCGGCAGAGGCGCAGGCGGGAGGAGGAGGCGGTGAGGAGGAGGCGAGGCGAGGCGGAGGAGAGGAGGCTAAGGGTAAAAAAAGGAGGACGGAGGAGTAGAAGATGAGGATGATGCGGAGGAGGAGGAGGAGGAGGAGGAGGAGGAGGTCCTCGCCAGACAGCGCGCACGGAGGCCCGACGAGGTGCGGGTGGGCGGATAAGGGAGCTCGCACGGTCGGGCTGCTGAAGTAAGGCACGCTGGATGAGGAACGACGCCCCTCCTCCTCACCCCTCCTCATCCTCCTCCTCCCTTCTCCTCTCCTCCCCTCCTCCTCCTCCTCCTCCCCCCTCCCTCCTCCTCCTCCCCTCCTCTTCCTCCTCCTACCTCCTCCTCCTCCTCTCCTCCTCCTCCTCCTCCCTCCTCCCTCCTACCTCCTCGCCTCCTCCTCCTCCTCCTCCTCCTCCTCCTCCTCCTCCCTCCTCCCTCCTCCTCCTCCTCCTCCTCCTCCTCCTCCCCCCCTCACTCCTCCTCCTTCCTCCTTCTCCCTCCTCCTCCTCCTCCTCCTCCTCCTCCTCCTCTCCTCCTCCTCCTCCTCCTCCTCCTCCACACCCTCCTCCTCCTCCTCCTCCTGTGCTGCTTCCAAAAGGCCTGGGTGCACGAGAGGGGCCAGAGGAACAGCCACGGAGGGACGCAAGGAGCATCGAGCCCCTTCCGACGCCGAACGGTTCCTTGTTTCTAGGGGGCCACATGCGAACCCTACCCCTACCCCACACGATTTCCGAGGGGAGGGTGCATCATTGATGGGAAGGAGGAGGAGGAGGAGGAGGAGGAGGAGGAGGAGGAGGAGGCCGAAAGAGAATGACGAGGAGGATGACGAGGAGGAGGAGGAGGAGGAGGAGGAGGAGGAGGAGGAGGGGCAGGCTGAGGAGGAGGAGGACAGGGAGGTTGAGGAGGCGGACAAGGAGGGAGGAGGAGGAGGAGGGCAGGTACAAAGAAACAAGCATGAGGCACAAAAGGGGGGGAGGAGGAGCAGGAGTCGGAATGAGAGGGGAGGGGGGGGAATGATGAAGAGGAGGACGAGGATGAGGAGGAGCACGAGCAGGAACGTGAGCGCTAGCGAAAGCAGGAACAGGACCAGGAGCAGGACCAGGAGCACGGCGACTGGGAGGCAGGAGCAATGAACGTAGCGCAATGTGAAGGCGCGCCGGGTTAACGGAAGAGTCCCGCGTACACGGTGGGCTCGGTTTCAGGCGGGCATCGCCGAAGCCAGAAATTAAGAATTCCTTAAACAGTGTTTACACTGCAGGGGTCTCATGCGTGGTCGAAGGAGCTGGGCCTGCGCGTCGGTCTGGCTGCCAGGTGGTTGCCATCGCCGCCCCATCGCCGCCTCGTCGCCGCCCGTCGTCTGGGCTTGCGCGTCGGTCTGGCGGCTGCGTGGTCGCCGTCGCCGCTCCGTCGCCGCCTCGTCGCCGCCCGTCGTCTGGGCCTGCGCGTCGGGTCCGCCGCCTTGTGGTTGCCGTCGCCGCCTCGTCGCGGCCGCCCCGTGGAACCCGCCTCCGCTGCAATCGAACTGTTGCAGTTCAATCGATTGCAATCGCATCGCCTTCATTGCATTAGATTGCTGTTCTTTGCGCCGCATTGATTTGCACTCCTTTGCACTGCGTTGCATTGCTGTACATTTTTGTGCGTTGCTTTGCACTGCGTTCCCTGGCGCTTTCCATTGCTTTACATTGCGTTGCATTGGTTTGGATTGCTTTGCCCTGCGTTGTCTTCATGTGCATTGCTTTGCGTTGTGTTGCATTGCTGTGCCTGGCTGTGCAGTGCGTTGCACTGGTTTGCATTGCTGTGCCTTTCGTTGCATTGCTTTGCGATGCGTTGCATTGTTGTGCTGGCTTTGCATTCACTTGCTTGGCATTACATTGCTTTGCATTGGTTTGCATTGCTTTGCGTTCCGTTGTCGTGTTTGGCCTTGCTGTGCATTGCGTTGCATTGTTTTGAATTGTTGCTCCTGACATTGCATTGCGTTGCATTGTCTTGCATCGCTTTGCATTGCATTGCTTTGCTTTGCTTTGCATTGTGGTTCCTGGCTTTGCATTGCTTGCCTGGCGTTGCATTGCATTGTTGTGCCTTGCTTTGCATTGATTCTTCTTTCTGAAAGAGACATAGACTCTTCCCCCTCCCCCTTTTCCGAAGTGCACACGCGCGCGTCGTCGCGCGCAAGCCTAAATCCTTGAAAAACCGTGGGTTTCGTAAGGATGTCAAAATCGAGTGCCCCGAAAACAAAATACATGAGTTCAAAACAGTGTTCAAAGCAAGCTTGCGCTCGCGGTCTTGCGAATTCTTGAGAATAAGTTGTTCAACATGTTCGTTAAATTGTGCTAAACGGGCCTCTCGCGCCGCATGTGGAAATCATTCGAACGCCCTTGCGCGCGTGCTGGGGGGAGCACGATCCGTGTCGAATATGACCATGCGGGCCACTCTCGCGCGTCGGCCGCGCGCGCATGTCGAACTCCTTCGCGAGGATACCGTCATCGTCGTCGACTTGATCAGCACGGGCGCCGTCGCTGGCTGTGCCGTCGTCGTTGTCATCATCGTCACCAGCATCGCTACGATCATCCTCGCGTCTACCGTTGTCGACGTTGCCATGGTACCGCGCCCGTCCAAGTCACCGACTCGCAGTGAAGTGCCCGCTGGGAAAAGCCCAGCGGTCAGCGCCACCGCGGCCGTGTCGGTCGCGCCAAAGTAGTTGGCCGCTTTGCGCGCGAGCATGAGCGCTAGCGCAGCCGCGGCGATGCGCCAGCCAGCACCGAGCAGTCTTGGCAATCGCCGCCGCATGTGTTTTGCAAACCAAGTGGCGGGTGGGAGGGCGGGACGATTGCGCGACCAGTGGAGTTGACAATTTCAAGTTCGGCAGTGTGATTTGGCATTACGTAGAAGGCACCACATATATTACACCATTGATCTTGCACCACATTTCGACCGCACCGCATAAATTGCACCGTATAGATTGCAATAATTTATCTCAGGGGGTCAATGATTGCTAACATCGTAGTACGAGTCGGGACCATGTGAGCGCAGCTAGCCGTAATCGCAATTCGCGCATGTCCGTGCCCAGTCGCGTGTGGCAGTGACAGACAAGGCCGCGGAAGCAGCGGCGTCCGCAGCGGCACTTCCGAGCGCAGCGCCAATGTTGCCATGTTGTGTTCTCGCCGCCCCGCCGTCGTGAACCTCCGCCGTCGTAACCTCGGCGTTCGCCCGCCGCCGCCAGCTCTCGCCGCCGCTGCTTCGGACTGTGCAGTGCCGATTGCAGACTGGCTTGCGCCCACTCCCCGCGCTTTGGCGCCTCTCCTGAGAGAAAAGAAACCAACAATACAACAAATCCGTCCGCCTCGCTTCCGCGGCGGCCGACGCGGCGGCCGACATCGGCGCTGCGGCCTGCGAAGCCGCAAACTCCGCCAAGACGGCCCGCGACCTGGCGAGTCCGTTGGGACTCCAGCTGGCGTCCTCCAGGTTGTCCTCCAGCTCCGCTGGGAGGGCAGGGCCATGATACCTCCCCAGATTTCATGGCCCTCTTCTTATTTTAATACGTTCCCTGGCCCCCCTTGGCCCGCCCACATGCCTCGGGCCATGATTTGCACCCCCCCCTCTCGGACCCCCCCCCCCTCTTGGACGCCCCCGAGGCATGCGATGTCTAGTTGTTTTTCCAGCACGGGGCCCCCGGAAGTCCAGCCCTTTCCCTGGCATTGGCTTTTCATCCCGAGTCGTTATTTGACGGTCCTGGGGCCTGGCGAGGGCCCCCAGAGGCCGAGATTTGTTCAAGGCGCCCCTGGCCCCAGGTGCCCCCAACTTTTCGCTCCGTTTTGGAGGCCCTCTGGGCCTCGCGAGGGGTGCTCTGGAGGCCGTGGGGGCCTCCTTGGAAATCCTGGGGGCACCTTGAGTCAGGGGCACGTCCAGCGACACCCGAGCCGGTGGTGTGGCAGGCGGCGCCACTGCGAGAGCGGCATCCCGAGCGACCGGGTGATGTCCCAGTGGAGCAGCCTGCGGAAAGCAGAGAGGATGTAAATGAGCCTTTGGGCGAAGATCGGAGGGTATCAATGCGCATAACGGGAGGCTGCACGGGGGGGTCAGGGTCTTTTTTTTTCTTCTTGCTTCTGCTCCTGCTCCTGCTCATGATCCTCCTCGTCCTCCCACTTCTTCCCCTCCTGCGATTCCGCCTCCGTATCCTTGTCCTCCTCGTCCTCTCCGCCCTGCTCGTGCTTCTCCGCCCCCGCCGCCGTCCCTGCCACGAGCCGTCGAACCCGCCGCCGCCCTCCTCGCTCTTGACCCTCCTCGTCCTCGCGGACTCCGTCCTCATCCTCGTCGTCGTCCTCCTGGCGCCCCATGCGCCAGCCCAGCCCCCCCCCCCTCGTGGACCCCCCTCGTGGACCCCCTCAGGGCGCATGCCGCCACCGGGCGCCCCGCGCTCGGCCAAGCGCGTCCTCATCATCAGCGTGGGCTTCGGGCGGCTCCTGTTCCCCGCGCAGGCGCAGCTGGTGGAGAGGGCAGGCCGCTGACCGGGGGGGAAGCAGAAGCACGCGGGCCCAAGGATTGGCGTCTGCTGCGCGGCCTGGGGCGTCTGGCCGCTCCGCCCTGCTCTGCTCGATTCCCTCCCTGGGTGCGTCTCCCAGACGGCTTCGCCTGTCGGGGTGGCCACTACAGGCCCACCCGGCCCGGGCGGACAATGTGACGACCTGGGGTCGGTTTTTTGGAGATTGTGAAAGATTTGAGAGTGACTCGTAGAGCTTCCCTGTAAGAGCGAAGCGGCGAAGCTGGAGAGTGACTCGCAGAGCTTCCCTAGGAGCGAAGCGGCGAAGCTGGAGCGTGACTCGCAGAGCTTCCCCAGAAGCGAAGCGGCGAAGCTGGAGCGTGACTCGCAGAGCTTCCCTATAAGAGCGAAGCGGCGAAAGCCCCCGCGCGGGGCAGCAGAGGCTGGCGAGCGTTGCCGATTCCCCCTCGTCACAGAAAAAAAAACGAAGAAACGGAAGGAGGAAGAGGAGGAGGAGGGGAGAAGGAGGAGGAGGAGGAGGAGAGGAGGAGGAGGGGGGAGGGGAGGAGGAGGAGGAGGAGGAGGAGGAGGAGGAGGAGGAGGAGGAGGAGGAGGAGGAGGAGGAGCAGGAGCAGGAGGAGGAGGAGGAGGAGAGCGCTTCCATAGGACGAGCGGCGAAGCCCCCGCGCGGGCGCAGAGACCGGGAACTCTGGGGCAGTCGGCCTTGGCACCCCCTCCTCCTCCTCTCCTACTCCTCCTCCTCCTCTTCCTCCTTGCCCTCCTCCTCCTCCTCCCCTCCTCCCTCTTTCATTCTACTCTCCTCCCCCTCGTCCTTCCTCCGTACTCCTCTTCCCTCCCCTCCCCTACTCCCCTACTATCCTCATCCCTCCTCCTCCTCCTCCTCCTCTCTCCTCTCTCCGACATGCTTTCTAGGCCTTCCCCCAAGGCGCAGCCTCTGAGAAGCCCCGCCGCCTTCCTGAGCAGAGGCCTTGGCACCCCCAGGACAGCGCCAGCCGCTCTGCCCCGCCCTATATCCTGGCCACTCGGCGCGCTCCGGCGCGCCGCGCCACCCGCGGCATGGGCGTCGCCTGCCGGGGAGCTTCGTCCCCAGACCTCCTGGCGTCGAGAAAAAATCACGACGGGAGGTTTTTCGCTATCTTCGGCCTCCAGGGGCCCTCCCCGGGCCTCGGGCGCGTCAGAAAACGACTCGGGACGAAGGGCCGGTCCCGGGGAAGGGGTCCAGACCTCTGGGGGTCGACGTTGTGACAAATTATCCCGGCAGAGCAACCTAACAGCGATGTGTAGGAGCATATCTGGAAGCATTCCCCTTAAGATTCAGATGAGAATCCAGTTGTAGAATTCTGCTGTCTCGCAGTCGTAGTCGCATTCGCTGATGGCAGTCGCAGTGGCAACGGCATGTTCGCAGTCACAGCACCAGCCTCAGCCTGCCTCAGCCTCAGGCCTAGCTCTGCCTCAGCCTCAGCCTGCCTCGCCTCCAGCCTCAGGCCTGCTCAGCCTCAGCCTCAGTTCTGCCTTCAGCCTCGGCCTCAGCCTCAGGCTGCCTCAGCCTCAGCCTGCATCAGCCTCAGCCT